GTCACCTGATACTCTTATTTTTATGTGTATATAGCCTATGTTTAAATGTTGCCACACCAAACAAGATTATTTGTCTTCACTTTGAGAGGCTTATTTCAATGGTTAACAATATTTGTACATGTAAACTAAAACTGCAACAACTTAAATTGATTTGTATAAAACGTAAAGTACAGCTCTACTTTTTAAAATCGTCAAAAATTCAGAATACTAAACCCTTGAGAAATGTTTTTTATTCATACTTTATTCATCTCTGAGGTGAAATTCTGGTTTACACTGTTATTGAAAAACACGCTTCTCCCACACATTGGCCATTTCTGAAACTAATCTTTCCATCCCAGTTTTGGGGGAAAGAGAGGCTTAAAGGTCACATATTAAGCAAAATACACCATGTTTACACTAATACACTAATATGTGTCCCTAGTCTGTCTAAAAAAAACCTAATCATGGGAAAAGTCCATCCTCATCGTCTTTTGCCTTCTCCACTTTTCAGAAAATGTGTGCTCAATCAGGCCGTCTGGAGATTTCCCCTTCATGACATCACAAGGGGCAGTAACCCCTCCCCCAGATAGCTGACACTTCCGAGGTTAAGGGTTTGTTCTGCCCTCCTAATCTGCTTTTTCATCGCAAACAATCGGGCATGGTGCAAGAAAGTCAAAGCATTCCAAGCCCTTCTAGAGGGGCGTGGTCGAACACAGACGACTTGTGTTGGAGGCCTAGTCCACACTTTTTCTGTGTGTTTTGGCCTTCGTAGACAAGCAAACTGCCCTTTACTGAAAACGCACAGCTGCTCATGGCTGCGCTCACGTTCCAGAAATTGATCCAGTTGCACGCGTCATCCGATGGAGGAAAATCCATGGCGCTGAAGGATTAGGCGCACGGACTATGTGGAAAGTGGGGGTTAGGAGCTTGGAGAATTACTTAAACTATAATATGTGACCTTTAAGAGGTGCTGTCTCCTTGTGCTAAAAGTAAATGTAAAAGATTAGATTCTATGTTCTCGAATTCATGTTTTTTCTATTTCAATACAACATAATTTCTTTGAGGGTTTTGATGTTATACATAATTTCTTTGAGGGTTTTGATGTTATTTAAACTTGTTAACTGTAAAGTCAACCTTTACTGATTTATATTGTATAATGTCCAGTGTTCAAAATAAAAATTAACCATCAGTGTGTGTTCTTCCATGTGATTGAGTGCATACTGTATTTGACCTGTTGATGACCAGTTGTTATGTCCACATCTGGATCTACACTGCCAACATCAGGCAGAGTTAAGTAACTACAACATTGACTATGGCTGGTGTACTGCAACAAAACAAAGGGATATTATTGAGACGGGGAAACTTGTTAGTAGAATTATTAAAGGATTCGACCATGGGTATTGTTTGCCTAATTTCACTTAATGTCTTATTGCATGACTGTAAGCAAGTTGAATTCAAAGAGAGAGAGGATGTTATGGCAAGGTACAGAGTTTGGACCACTGGAGCAGCTGACAGACACTAAAAAAAAGTTATGGTGTTTAATGAAAATTGCAGGCAAAAAGAGAAACCACTACAAGGCAAAAAGTAAAAAACCAAAAGAGCCTGGCTGAAGGCTTGCTGGCTACTTAAGGTTGAGCTGCACTGAGCAGGTGAGTCTCAGACAAAAAACAGTATATACTCGTAAGATAAAAAGTGCACGGGCAGTTTGGACAAGCAACAGGGCACACCACACAGCAAAAGCCCCCAAAATCATAGAAATGTGTTCCTGATACTGCAGCGCCCTCTAGTGCTAAAAGAGAGTGATGTTGGACTTCTGCCCAATTATTGTTTTTCATGATCTTAGAGTATTGTAGATAAAACATAATGTGATGAGACATTATAGCTCTGATTATAATTTATTCACAACAATTATTAATTTATTTTACATAGTGCAAATATGCTCCAAGCTGGTGTCCTGGCTGTCTGCCTTAAATCACTCCTGGTGTTGGCTTAGACCATTTTTGAACTCTGTACACATATCCTAAAGTCCATGATAGACATACGCAATAATAGAAAATGATATGATGCCATACCATTATTCATTTTTACTCCAGATTTCAACCCTTGAACACATCAGAAGTCTATAACAATGACATACTATAACAATAGTACACCAAAACTGATAAAGTGCTCCGAAGAAAATAATACACATATCTATATTTACAAGTACTCTGACATAATTCAATAAATCTTGTAGGTTTTACAACTACAAAGAAGAATACTGTTAAAATTAAACAAAGAGACCCATTGTGTGAAAGTTTTGAAGTCCCCATTCTGATATATTTTATTTTAAAAAGTTCAGTAAAAGTCAGTATTATATTGTGTGGGTGTGATAAGTGTCTCATTAAAGGGTTGTATCCTTTAGGTTGATGTTTTACAGGAGATATTAAATGTATGGACTGCTGGTGCAACTGGATCAGCAAAGTTGTTATAATTTATCCTTGGGTTATTCTGTGCTTTAAATTTATTTTCAGGGTGAAATGTCAAAGAATTGTTGAGATGTTTCATCACAATCCAAAATGGTGGATAGGCAGACAAAGACAGCAATCCATATTATGTAAAATACACTTTATCATGTTTTTATAACACTAATATGTGTCTCCAGCTTGTCTACAAAATCATGAGAAAATAATTTAGAATGACGCTGTTACCGTGAAACTAAAAAGGAATACACGTTTAATCTGCATTGTCAATTCAAATACTTTCCGTCCAAAACGCCAAATTAACATTACAGTATGGAGTACACAGAAAAAATATTTGTAAATTTTGTTCCCTTCCTACAGTGGGTCGTGATGTTTTTCCGCCTGCTTGCCTGTATCAGGTCGGGTAAGCTGAACAGTGTCATCTTGACCTGTTCCCCTTTTCTGCTCATTTTATCTCCTCTTGTTCTCCCTCTCAACCTCACTTTTTCATTCACTTTTTCTAGAATGTGATTGCATCAAACATTTTCATGAATCTAAACTAAACTAAACTAAAAAGTCCCAGCTTTTAAATATTGTATTAAGAAAACAGTTGTTTTTTTTCTCCAATAGTCTACACACACAGAGATAAGCATTAAACCTCCAGGTTGTGCTGACCTGGTTACATTTCCACCTCCATCAAAGATTGAGATCTCAAACCTCTGTGACCCTTAAATTCTCTCACCAAGAGCTTTGGGTAATATTAAACTAAAAAGCTTTGATCCAATAGTTATCACAGGGCCTGTCAACAACACTTCATTTAATTTTTTTGAATGCAGTAGTCTTTGTTCTATGTTTCTGTGATTTACTATGTAGTCTTCAAAAACTAAAACACAAAAAATAATTTAATCTAGCAGCAGCCTTTGAGAACATACGCTAATGCATTATTTGAAGGTAAAGCATGAAGTAATGAGGCCCATATAAGTCTTTGTTAGAGGTTATTATAGGTCAAACAGAGTATATATATATATATATATATATATATATATCCGTATACCAATATACACAAATGTATTGCTAGGTTATCAGAAATGGCTTAATAATGGTCATACGGTTCACATTTTAAAAAAAATTGGTTACCAATGGCAACCTTTTATCTCTGTCAGGCTGTGACCAAATGATGTATACAATAGCTGCAGAGTTACCATATACAAGCATTAAGAACTTATTCTTATAAATACCCCTGATTACTGTTCAGATGCATAATGATATGCACATATGTAATTAACACAGAGCTATAGGCCTCTACTTGTTCAGCTCAAAACTATCTCCAGCTAGGCTTGAACAATTATCATATTTGATGAATGCTCATACGGTGTCCATAGGGAAAGTGTGTGTTTGTGTTAATAGAGCTGTCTGATGGATTTATTAAGACGTTTTGACCAAAAAAGACACAAGACATTAACGAGTCAAAGGAGATGGAGTGGCAAAACAAATCCTAAAGATTTAATGCATTAGTTATACAGGCCTATTATTTTGGATAGCCTATATATAGATATATCATGGTTAGGGAGTAAAGGATCAAACCCCCCAAAAATGCGTTAGTTTTCAAGATACCCCAGAACAAAGCACAACAAGTAAATTAATTTAATATAGGCTGCTAAAATCGGAAAAAAATATCAAGAAATGTAGCAGCATTTGAAAAAATGTCTTATAAACGACTTGGTAAATTAGATCTGTATTCTAGGAAGTGGGGCAGATACAAATCCTTCTTAGAAGGCCCCTGAAATGGGTGATACAGTGAGTGGAGAGATGCAAATTCGGAGTGTTTGTGGACAATTGCGTCCAGTACCAGTACAGTTTATTTTTTTTATTTTATTTTTTCTCTCTGAAAGGTTTGCCTGAAGATTCTACTTTTGTATGGTTATGCATATTTGCTAATGTATATCTTAAGCTGTTCATGCAATGGGTACATCTGTCATGTATATGGGCAGAAGTATTTAATTTAAGTTTTATTTATCTATTTCTATATTCTCTCCTTTTTTATTGTACTTGTTTTTTTTATATAATATAAAGATATAAATTATTTTATCTATCCTTTTATTTTTTACTAATGCTGACTTATAAGTAATGTGGTTGGCTTATTATTATTGTCACTGGTACTGATGTTATGGCTGCAGTTATTAAGGCTATGTCCGCTAAAGATCAAGGACTGTTATTGTACATTAACACCCAAGGACAGATGGGTGCAGGGTGATGACAGTTTGTTTTTGTTTTTTGTTTGTTTTGTTTCTTGATTGTTTTGGGATTTTCTTGTCTGCTTGTTTTAAGTTTGGTGGGCATTGTATGCCTATTTTGTCATGTCATGTTTTGAAAAAAAAAATAATAATAAAAATTGTTCATCACAACAACAAAAAAAAATCAAGAAATGCAATTAAAAAGCCTATCGATTAATATGTTGAATATGGTGAAAAAAAAATGTTTTTCTAATAAATAATAGGGACTGTGCGGACTGTGAGGTCTTAGAAACGCTTCTTCCTTCAGTTCACGTCAACTGTCAACTACATTTCCCAGCATGCATTGCGGAAGGTCAAAGGTTGATTTAGCATGTATTTGCACACAGCAAAAATACCCGTCTATCAGTGAAAACATTGAACTTTATCTTCAAATTGTGCAATAGTCGTTATCCCCAACACATACACTCAACTGAGAGTTAATGAACGACCGCGACATCGCTGCTGTAGGAAACAAAAACCCTGAAGAGCACTCAGTACTACTGGACTGCTGCGGAGGACTCAACAACCTCGACTACTCAAAGGTAAGAAGAAACATGTTGAATACGGAAGTCCTCTCGGTTCAAAAGTTCAGTGTGAATCAATAGAGCGGCTCGTGAATCTCCCGGTTTGTCACAGCACTTGGTTTCGTCCATACTACACCCATGATGTCGTCATTGATGAGAGTCATCCCACATCCGGGTATCGAATAAGACTGCAGGTCGATACCGTGTATTTGTTCAGAACCAGCTTCAGTAGAAATACATAAGTACATTATCCGAAAAGTATTCAACCAAACTTGTTCATAGTACACATTCAGCATGTCACAGCCGAGCTGCCTGTTCTAGCTCTCTGATTGGTTGGCCTGTCAATCTATACCTTGACATCTCCCCCATAAATTATCTTTTGTCTCCTTGTGTAAATCAAAGAGCATTACCTACACATAATAATTGTTTTCTTTAACTTGTGACGCCTATTATGTATAATCTCAATACTTTACATTAAAGGATTTTACCATAGACTGTACACATGAAACAAAAGTGTGTTACTTTAAGATTATTAAAAATGTACTGAACATCAAACTAAAATCCACAGAGCTACATTGGAAATTTAGACACCTGGCTTTAATAAACACATTTTTATATTGTATTTCAGATCAGATTCATGTAACTATGTTTTTAATTTATCATGAGTTGTTTTTTTTTCCTCTAACTGTATTTTTTTTGTTTGTTTTAGATGGACCTGACGCTCATGCAAGAGCTCATGAAATGTATAAACCTTCGTGATTCCAACTTTTGTATAGCTGTGCTTGCCATCTTTTTCAACCCTCTCTTCTGGAATGTGGTAAGAAGCATTTTGAATCACACAGGAGAAATAGTACCTTAATCTACAGTAGATTGACACACACACACACACACACACACACACACACACACACACAGTCAGTAGGATATTTAAGAGAACCATCATGATCTCATGTCTGCTGCTTTCTTTCTCTTGTCATTATTCAGGTGGCGAGATGGGAACATCGTACACGGAGACTCTCCAGGCTCTTTGGTAGCGCCTACCTGGCTTGTTACTGTCTGGGTTTCGTCATCATATTGCTCAACGTGTATCGCAGCCACAGGTGAAACGCATACTAACCCCACTAAGCTCATTCCAAGCAATTTGATCATTAACTTTGATTGATTATTCACTTCTGGATAAGAGTCAGTTTTAACCCTCAAAACATCATTGAATGGTCACGGGGCGCTGGTGGTGCAGTGGTTAGGGAGCGCGCCCCATGTATGGAGGCTGTAGTCTCAAGCGGGCGGCCCGGGTTCGAGTCCGGCCTGTGGCTCCTTTCCCGCATGTCATTCCCCACTCTCTCTCCCTGATTTCCGACTCTGTCCACTGTCCTAGCTCTCAGTTAAAGGCACAAAAAGCCCAAAAATAAAATCTAAGATAATTGAATGGTCACTCAAATCAGTTTTGGATTCTTTTGGATAACATTAAAGAGGAAAACAGGTGTGGCAGAATGGATGCAATGTTGTTTAACATCTCTTATTTATAGTGTGAATTTTAAGAATTATTAAGCCTGTGTGTGTTAAACCTGAACACTTACTTTTATCATGTTTATGAATTTACCAGAAAGTCTTTGCGCTGTCAGATACCAGTAAAAGCAACTTAGCATCGAATAGTAAGTAGGGCCTGACTCAGATATGGGATTTTTGGGGTGAACACCAATATTGATATTAGGAAGAGAAAATAAAAAAGGTTGCCGATATTTTTATTAAAACTATCTTCAATCTGCAAGGATATATATATAAATATAGATACATTTATTGTATTGAACCCTCAAATGCAGTTATCAAACACTTACACAGAAAATGCCTGTTGTAATCCATAAAGCACACTATGCTGGTGAAGGAGAACTGATAGTGTAATACAATGATACTTAAATGAAACTGGTGATTAATATAGGAATATCGCAAATATCTGCAATTAAAATGAGGCTATACTGACTGTCACTTGATATGCTAATATCGGCCGATATTATCGGCTGGCTGATTAATCGGTCGTGCTCTAAGACATGCTACTTTACTCTATTGCCATGTCTGCAAACAAAATGACATTGCCGTAGCATGTTAACAAAAAATGAAGAATAATAATTAACATACAGAAAATATGACATCCATTTAATGGACTTAAGAGACCTGCATGGATAATAGGTGGGGTTCCTCTTAATTCCTCTTGGCTGACTTCTCACTGAAGTATTTTGTTACCATAATACCTAGTGGAAGTACATGCAATCACATCTACCAATTTGGATTAAAATGGTGAAAAGGCACCCTGAACATAAAAACTATGCCCAGTAACTTTAAAAGAAATTGGGGCATAGCTAACAAAAAACATAAATGGAATTTCCATAAGGGTTAGGGTTATGGTTATTTTGAAATTAGCGCCTGACCGATATGTGATTTCTGGGGCCGATATTGATATTAGGAAGAAAAAAATTCAGATACAGATTTATTAGCCGAAATCTTGATTTAAAAGCAGACCCTTGTAAGACCTTTTGTTTTTCAGCATCACTATGAAAGAGCACACCTGAACTTTTGTTCAGTATTCACAAGTTTTGTGATTTCAACTAAATGTGAAGGTCGACGTACTTTTAAAATAGCATCTAGTCGGAGCGTGTAAAACAGTTAACAACAAGTCTACAAAGCCCAGGATACATACTGTGTTCATTTATGGTGATCTGTTTGGTTCATATGTAATGCAGGACAAGAAAGACGCAAAGAGAAGTAGAGTTAAATGTGAGTACAATGTTCAAAGTAAATCTCGTCATCTTTTCCGACAAACCAGTTACATCAACTGGCCAAAGTCACAACTTCCCAGTTTGGGGTGTAGTTTGTGAGTGTTTAAGTTGGGATCAGTTTGTCTATCAGAGTGACTATTGCTTTGTTTTAAGTCTTTTGTACTTCATCCATAGCAAAACAACAGATTCCCTGTGACACTTTTTTAATCACTGGTGCATGTACTGTGAAAAGTGACATGTAGTTTCTATGATTAAATGTGTTTGTTTGTTTTGCAGTATGACAGTGGTGATGAAATCCCAGGCCAGGTGGGACGTGTTGGAGAGGACTGAAGTTTTCTACGCTGGTGCAGCTCTCATAGTGCTGGGCACTGTGCTGGTGGTGAGCAGCTTCCTGGCGCTGGGATTCACTGGAACATTCCTTGGTAGGTATCAATTTTAATATTTTCTTACGTACATAATAAGTCATCAAGTAACAAAAAAGGGTATTTCAATGAAAGACGTTATTCTTAAGAATAATAACTTCAACAAGAAATAAATCAAAATACTAGTAGGCACCAGACCCTTGTTTTATTCAACAACAATTAGTACATAGTGTAATACACATCTGTATTACAGCTACACAGACCTGAAAGAAGAATGACCCTCAGATGGGAGACAGATATATAGATATCCTCAAAGCTTTAACAGATTGTGTGTGTGTGTGTGTGTGCATGCGTGTTTGTGTTTTGCAGGTGATTACTTTGGAATCCTAATGGATGACAAGGTGACGGGCTTTCCCTTCAACATCACGGATAACCCGATGTACTGGGGTAGCACGGCTAACTACCTGGGCCTAGCACTCATGTAAGTGTGTGTGTATATGTATGTTTACTTATTTTTAAAGATTTATTTTTGGTCCTTTTGTGCCTTTATGTATAGGATAGGGATAGTAAAGTGGATAGAGTCAGAACATTTCACTACCCCCTCTTCTCTCTGTATGTCACCATCATCTCTCTCCTTCCCTTCTCCTTCTCTTATATTTTTAAAATTAATCTTTATAAGAAGATCAGCTCTCAGATTCTAACCCTCCGGTGTCGTTCTTTTTAACGGCCCTTTTGAGACACTCGTGGTCAAAAACATTCATGAAAATATTATATAGCAATATCTTCCCTCCACTATTTTGGTTTGAATGTTTTTAATCAACTTCAGTCCTGATCAATACCATTTATTTAATTAATTAATTACAGGATTTTAACCCTTTAGATGCCAGTTTGATGACATGATGTGCAGTGTTACTGTTTTGCTTCCTCTGCTACATTTTTGGCACAAAGGTGATAAAGGTGAACCAGTTTTCTGTGTGATTAACTGCGGGGTAAACCATTGTTTAATAAATGGAGGAGGGCCTCTGAATTTACCTCTCGTTTTTAGGAGAAGAATTAGTTTATGTGGGTCTGCATGAACAATTCTCCCTTCCAAGAATAGTATTTATTTTCCTGACATACTGTATTTATTCTTCCTTAAAATATTTCTGATATTGTGATTACTTTATTAACTATTTAATGTAATCATTTTCATTAAGATTAAGACACTCTGTTTTAGTACCTCATTGTAAATGTTTGACTTATTTGATGAAAATGAAGTTGCCCACACAACAATAACTTGACCCTAACTCTTTTCTCGCCCTGTCTGTTTTTCAGTGGTGCCAGTCCTGTTGGTCTTGTCCTGACTGCTTTTGTAGCCGTGGTCTACAGTGTTGCAATAACATTTGAGGGGTATGTATTTCTCAGTACTGTGGACACTTGTCAAATAGGGCTTTCACATTTGCAATCTCCTGAAAAACTCCTAAAAAAACACATTTTGAAACACAAGGCTTCTCTTAAAACTACACAAACGAACCTGGCACAGAGTGGTAAAGTGTTCTAGTCTCTGATGTATTTGTAAAACTATATGTTTCGTCCTGCTTCATTTACAGACCATTCACTGAACAGATCTATGCGGAGAGGATTCATCACAGCAAGCATGAATAAAACTCTACCTACCAGATACTACTTACGGTTGGGTCAAGTATCCCCCTCTCTGTCAAGAGATACAGCAGACTAAACAACAGACAAACCTGTCATCCCAACATTGGTCGTTATTCTACGTCCAGTCTGGATTCAGAGGCTGCAGTTACAACACAGTAACCCATTTAATAGCTATTGGCCCTATTAGCTTTGTGGAGCCAAATTTTTATGTAATTCTCAAGTGACATCCTTTACTGTTATTCTTACTGTTGAGAAAAATCTGAATAGAGTTGATGAAAACTTCTAATCTAACTATGTGCAAGGAAGGATTAAGACTATTTCAAAAACGTCTTAAAAGCGATATAGAAGAAGAAGATATACTTTATTAATCCTGCGAGGGAACCCTCCAGTTCCCATTCCAAGTCCCTACAGAAACCATCATCATCTTCAAATCTTAAATATTATTTCTCCATAACTGGGATAGTATGTATTAAGCCAATGAAAAATGTTGCTTCTCATGGTTTTACAGAAAGTATTCAGTCTTTCCATAGTAGGAGCTGCACATGTGAACCCATTATCATGATTTGATTGATTTTAGAGACACCATTAAGTCACGTCAATAACACACTATACACAATATCAGCACATTTCAAATCATTAACAGGAAGGGACTGAAGTCATTGATGGTCATCAACATCTCTGTTTAACAAGTGGAACTGCACACTGTGATAAAATCCTGCCATGATGAGGTTTAAAGGATGTTGATGACAACATTTTATATTTTTATCTAGAAAACCTCAAACTAGGAATACATGAATGAAAATACTGTGCTGGGTTTTTATACACTAAACAAAAAATGAAAATGAGTTCAGCTCAGCACTTCTGCAAAGAGAAAAATAGTAGTGCAGGTGTTCAACTTTATAAGCAACAACCTTCAACACTTCCACTGTTGTTGTAACCAGTATTCCATATAATGTCTCAGGAGGACACGTTAGTTTAAAGGACACATATTATTCTCATCTTTATCCAGTTTAATAAGTCTCTGAGCTCCCATAACATGTCTGGGAAGTGTCTTGTTATAAATCCACTCTGATTCTGTTTTTGATCATGTCTATAAACCCCTCTATTTCAGCCCTGCTCAGAACAGACTGTTTCTGTGTCTGTATCTTTAAATATGTAAATGAGCTGTGTTTGACCACGTGTCTCTCTAGAGAAAGGAGATGTGGCTCGGGCTTTCCTGCCCAATTGTTTGCGGTGAGAAGGCAGACTCAGAGGGCAGAACAAACACCTAGCTGTGGGAGTGTCACCCACCTGGGGGAGGGTTGCTTCCCTTTGTGATGACACAAATGGAAAATGTCCAAACTGCCTGTTTGAGCACACATTTTCTGAAAAGCGGAGCAGGCAAAAGATAGAGAGGAAGAACTTTTCCTGTAATTGGGGGGGTTTGTAGATAAAATGGAAAAGTGTATTTTACGTAATGTGACCTTTAAAGGTTTGATTGTGAATCCATTAAATTATCAGTAGAGCTTTACTTTAAAAAAAAAAGCATGTACTGTCTTATTTGGACCATGCAAACCATTCCTTACTTCACAACACACAATGCCTGTGTTGTGATCTGAACCTCTGTGTTGATCAGACATTTTCATAAACAATGGTGAGTAAGACATCTCTTTGTCTGTGTATAAACAAAGCCATAATATACTAATTATTCTGTTTCACAGTAACACAATCATGTTTTAGTCAATTCTGATAAATTATTATTTAAAAAAAGTAACTCATGTTGCATCAGTTATGAAATATAAGATGTTCTTTACTTCATGAATGATGCCCTGCCAGACTCTTAAATGAGAATTCTCTCTTTTGGTAAATGGCAACAATAGCACTAGAATGAATAAGTACAGTGCTTGTTATGTGAAATAAAAAAAACAAATTCAGAATTTGTGTCAAGACTGGACTTTTATCTAACATTTGTTTTATATAAAGAAATAAATGATTAGTATGTGCTGCTACTAGCACTGACCTGAGAGCAGCATTTGGTGCGACACCAACACTGAAATCGGAGGTTTTGTGGATTTCAAACACAGTGGTCAAGGCACCAGTCTTACAACTCCAATGAGGGGATAGGAGATCTCTTCCGTTTGATGTTCCCTGACTCACAAATCGCGAGCACGTTTACTTCTGGAAAGGACAAGACGGCCTATATAACTCGTTTTGGACTAGCGCCTTTCATCAGAAGCGAGCTAATCTGGAGAGGAATCCCGGAATCATTTTTCTGTTTCTGCTTTATCTGTCTTCACAGAGAAGAGCGATGGACCGTGAAAAGAAAGGCACAACTATTACGAAACGCACAACGTGAAAAACAAGAACAGAAAGGCCCCGGCTTCATCCACAGAGGGCAACAAGGCTAAAAGATCGAAGCACTAGAGAGAAGTCTGTAAAGGCAACATGGAATGATTCTTTTATTTAAATTAGCCCAAAAAAAGGACATATTAATGGAATCAAGGAGTTGAAAGACGGTGGATTTATAACAGGTGTGTATAAAAGGTTTTATCAAGTAGCCACTTGATGCCTCATCCTGAGCGTGTCCCTCTCGGAACAAAAACTGCCTTCTCAACTTATTCTCCCCTTCAACCAAGAACTGTGTTTGAATGACTTTTCATTCATCATGAACACGTGTGATGCTCTCTTGATATTCAAGAGATGTGTATAGTACTTGAGCTGTATTTGTCATGTCATGCTGTTGGAATAAATGAAACTCTTTCTGATTACACTGTGTGGAATTTACTTTGATAGATATTTAGAAACAAGACAAATGTCACATTGTGTGCAGTCAAATGGCCACTCTGTTATTGATGGTGGTGTTACTTCTTTGGTGTGAGGATCAATTCCAGTTGGGTCTAAAGAGGAAAACAAAATAAGAGTATTAACATCATAAACACATCCACTACAGGAACAAGTGCAGGGGGAAGATATATTTATGTGGTATGAAGCCTTGAAACGTCACCTTGAGCTGCAGGTTGGTTCTCTTGAAGAACTGGATCTCTTCCACGTGCTTCTTTTCTTCAATCTGTGGCCTTTCAGTTTCTCGTTTTTCAATGGCTGAATTGAAGACTTGAGTTTGTTCAGTTGCTTCTTTAGCTCCAGTTTCTCATCGTCAAGATCAGTAATCTAGGTGTTTGAAGTTTATTAAAATGCAGGATAAGTGATGTTAAGCCCAAACATTATTTTAGAGGAATGCTGCCCTCTGCTGGATACTAAACCAAATAGCATGCGATAGTTGTTCCTTCAGCTTCTGTGGCAAACACTGTATATTCTCGATACTATCGATGGATGCCAATATTGGCAAACATTCCACATGTGTATGTTATCTATTGTTGCTAAACACAACAAAAAAGTGAATGTCCTTACTTTTTTCTCCATGTCAACCTTTGACTCTGACTGAAGGGCTTTCCTCATACCAAAGGCCACACTGTTTTCATTCAGAGTCCGGTAGGCAGCAATAGTCATTTGAATTTCATCTCTGACCCGCGAGAGCAGCCGGCCCCTCTCAGCACAGTCGATGGTCACCTGTCTGATGAGCTCATCTTAAAGAAACAGAAAATGAGTAAATGCAACAGTAACATATTTGCGGAGATAAATGTGCTTTCAGTGGTATACAAAATGCTTCATGGCAATTAAATTTAAGCCATGTGTGCACAAAAAACTGGTTCAAATTCTTGTTCTTTGATCCTCAATCCTTGTCAACACAATAGCCTCAGTGATCACAAATATCAGAGCCTCCTTCTCACCAAAGTACTGAGAGTAGAGCTCCCTGCGGACAGGGCAGATTCCTGTCTGTCTGGCTTGCCTTTGTTGCAGCTTTGAGTCCAGCAGCTCCTCTAGGTGAATAACATCTGTTCTTGTACAAGGTGCACTGGACACTTGCTGCACCCACAGCTGGGTTCCGTCAGTCCATTCCCTGCAATAACAGAAGTTTAGGTAAACTGAGTGGATTGAACTTAATGAATGACACACACTGTAGATGGATGCAACTGTACCTGGGTGGAACGATGGCGTTTAGGATCTCCTCATCTTCCTGCTTGGTGGTGTCAGTAGAGGTGGGTTTTGATTTTGGAGGTGGTGGAACAGGGGTAGACTGTCCCCCACCTGCTGTGGACTCACTTTTAAAGGGCGCCCCTGTTGTGAAAAGTATTTCATGTTACACAATGAATCAGCTTTCTTTGCCTATCTGAAATACATGATAATAACTTTAAAAAGCTTTGGGGATTGAAAGATGTTGGTAAAAACATAGAAACAGCAGCCATTATAGCGAGAATATCTGTACGGTCAAAACAATTTTCGCCATCATGCCTAACTTTTACCACAAAACGTTGGTTAAACTCGGCTGGCGTTACTAAACTTACCTTTGGTGATTTTCTGTCAGTGCTTTTGCTGATCAAAACTGGATTGTCGTGTTTGAGAGAGATTCGGCTGGTGAATCATCTTTTTGAATCTGATAATTTGAACAAAATAAGACCAGAAACTCCTTTGGTTTGTGATTCAGCTACAGGGATATCGGTGCTGTTTCGAAGGATGCTATTCTTGCTCACTTTTTGTGTTGTCATAGCAACAGCATCCCAGTGTTCCTTTTCAGTTTGACCGTCTGGAATCAGCAAGACTGTATGGCTGCATCCTGGTGCTCTCTCGTCTGTGTGCTCTTGTCTGGATGCCTGAAGTCGAGTCCCCTGAGCTTCTAATTTTCAACATAAAGCTCCAGAAATAAAAATATATGTAGTGTACATGTGATATATTACAAACACGATAGGTGCTTATGTACAACGGAGGATGAGGGCCATGTTAAAAAATATATATTATTTTTAACTTTCAAGATTAAACTCGTAAATTTACAACTTTAATCTCGAAATTTAAAAAAAAAAAGTAACGTGGCCCTAGTCCTCCGTCGTACTTATACATTCAAGACTAAATCTATCAAACTATATGTATATGTGCTTTTTGAGCTCAATCAGCAGCGTCGGTTCAGCTGTTCTCTAACTCTCTCCCTCTGCGGACTCATTTCAACGTCTTTTCAAAAAAAGGAGGAGGTCTCCCCAGTGATCATTAAGGGTCAGCAGATTGAGACTGTCCATTTTATAAATACCTTAGTGTCTTCCTGGACAGTAATTAAACTGGAAAATGAATACTGATGCTGTTTTCAAGAAGGTACAGTCAATACTTTTCATCTTAAGGAAGCTGAGATCCTTTGAAATTAGCAAGAATCTTCTTTATGTTTTTTATCAGGGAATCTTGGCTAGTGTCCTCTTGTATGCTGTGCTGTGTTGGGGTGGCAGCATCTGTGTGGATGATAAAAACAGGATGAATAAACTGATTAAAAAAGCTGACTCTGTGATTGGCATTACCCCAGACTCACTTGAGATCACTGTTGATAAGAGAATGAGGACCAAACTTAAAACTGTTTTGATCTTTGAAGGGAATCCTTTACAGTGTTTTTAACGGACTCCGAAGCTCCTTCAGTGAGCGACTAGTGATGCCACAATGTTCCACTAAATGTCTTAGATGGTCCTTTCTTCCTGCAGCAGTCCAATATTTTAATGAACATTTTTAGTTGTGTTTCTGACTCATGGCTGTACATGATTATTCAAATGGTTTCAGTGTGTTTGTTATTTATTTACTTGTTGTGGACTGTCAATATTGTTTGTTGTGTTTATGCACTGACCTGGTGACAAATGAGTTTTCCCCGCTGGGGATCAATAAAGTTTTCTAATCTAACCTAAATGAGAATCATTCTAATTGTCAAGAAAAAAGTTGTGGACCATCCAAAGCAAATGATACCTATATCACATTCACATCCAAAAACCTTTGGTTTGGTGAACTGGTGGTCTGACTCTTAGAACTAGAGGCAGCTCTGTCACATTTTGCCAAAGTTAGAGACCACAAAACATAACTGAGTCCTCTCCCACCCTGAACGCTCAGCTGTACAAGTTGCACTTATTCATATCTGTCCAACAGAATTCACATTGCTGTCTTTCTCGATCATTTCATGCATTATAATCTGTTGATTGTTCATCCTTCAGACGTTCCTGCTCTGTGCATGTTGAGATCTCACAGTGAAGACATCTGTTCTGTGATCATGTCTTTGAGATGAGCCCTGAATGTAGGATGGTGCTCTGTTGAACTCATCCTCTGGATCTCTGCGTCTTTTAGTTGCAGCTTCTCCAGCATGCAGCATGGTTTGTCCAGGAGCGTCTCTCTGTGGTCACTGTGGAGTACTGCAGGACAGCAACACACAGAATGGGAATCAGAATCGGTGTTTATTGCCAAGTGCATTTACACATACAAGGAATTTGACTTGGTGTATTGGTGCTAAACAATTAACAAGGAAATAACGCAGAACTAGCAACAACTTAAATAATACAGTATAAGAAGATATTACAATATAGAAAATAGAATTTAAAAATGTAAAACATAAAATATAAAATATAATGAATAAAGATAAAAAACACTGTAGCGTAATTAATTTATTAAGATGTTATATCTTTATTTAACCTCGGATTTAAGAAGGGGCACCACTTCCTGTTAAAGGAAGAAAATAACTTTAATGGTGTAAGTTAATTAATTAATCAGTCAGTTTCATATCTTGGAAGAAGCAAGTTCTGGAAATGTTAAACAAGAAAACACACAGACAAAGTCCTGAATTTTATGTGTAAAATTTAATATAAAAAGGGGTAAACAATAATGTATAGATGAAACAGATAAAGAATATGATTATTATGATCGGGATAATGCAATTATAACGTATGGTGACATTATATATTTAGTGACGAGATAAGACTCGGTATTGTTTGAATGACTTAATCAGCAAATTATCAACAAAGGGAAAAAGTTGATAAATTAATTTTGGGATTCTATTTGGATTTAAAGGAGGGCTCTGAATAGACAC